TATATATATATAGTTGTCACACAGACTGGACTTCAAACATGTTAGCTCGAAAATTTTAGACTTAATTTCCCTACTGACCGCAGGCACCAGGACAAGGATCTCATCACTGGCAACAGGGAAAGCAGTACAAATCTGGCAGACGTTCTATCCCTTTCTCACAAAAAAATAAGTTTTGGACGTAGAATTTACAGCTTTTTGGTTGAAAATCCTGCAGAAGCACAACCAGTATTCTTTGTATATACATATCAAACATATTAAATACATTAGTGTAAAGTGTTGTCACAGCGCTAAAGGTTTGGAATAAATATGAAAATATGTGAATAAATATATGGATCAAAAACGTGAGTGATACCCTGTGTGTAAGTCTTCAAAAAAACTTACCAATAATGAATATAAAGTACCATAAAGGACTGAAAAAGTGCTGATGTGCAGACAACCAACAGGAAAACTACATTCCTCAATAGGATAGGTTAATAAATGTAACATTTTTACATAACAATATATGGTATACAATGAAACTTGCAACAACCAAACTTTGTAGTTACACAAAGATATTTGCTTCTACAATATTGTTTGTAACAAAGTCCTAGCCAGTACATGTAATATCCATGTAAACTTACTGCCTTCCTGTTCCTCTGCTGAATGTTTCCTCTTCTTCGTAAAGCCATCTCCCTGGTTTGCCTTCTTGGACGCAAATTGCTTCACACCAGCTTTACCTCCCTTTTGGGTAGCCATTTTCTTACCCTTTTCAAATTTATTTACTTTGGTATTTCCCTTTGGACTCCATCCAGTATTTTTGCCATTATTTTTGGGGGAGCCAAATGCTAAGGGAGACAAACGACAAATGTTTGATTCTACGTCTGAACACATACAAGTATATACAATACAGTCTTTAAAGAATGTTCAATAAAAAGAATGTCAACAATTTACCCATTCAGTGCAAAATAATATGAATTCTTATTTGCCAACCCTGATTCCCCTTTGCCGAGCTTCCCTGCCACTCCAGGACTCAACACCTGCGTAAAATCCATGATAGATGGTGTCAGACCTTACACAGGGTTGATAACGTCAACCCCGTCAGGTGACACTAGGCCCAGCACTGCATCCTGGAAGGAGACCACATGCTCCTCCATACTCTGGAACTCGTAGAGAAGGGGCGAGGGCAGATTTTCTTTAGGCCTTATTTACATGTGTAGCAAAACAAGGTTGTAGACCTGCATTTTTAAAGCTCCTCAACCACCTAGCAACACACCTGAGAAACTGTTCAATGGTCAGCAGACAGTGCAGTACACACGTGCTGTTGTGTTGCAGAGCACCAAGAATTATATAACATGTCATGTTCGGGAGTCTTTCCCCACTTGGCAAGCACCTTCATTCACGCAAATGGAAACGCGCCTACAGCGGTTATGGCTCCTTTGAGAAGCGTTTTTAAAGATTTTTCAAGGCGGTGAGGAAAAGGCAATGGAGGTAGCCAATATCTCAGAAAGTACAGGGAAATGATAAAGAGGACAGAAGAGCTTCAGTAGCCACTTCTTTTTTTGTTTTATTTTATACCAGCGCAATCCAGTACCAGTGTCTGTACAGCCAGTAGTGCCACTGAGCCAGCTTAATAACATGTCCCTAAGCTGATCTAAAATACAAGAAAGATATTGATACAGGGTTAATTTTGCAAATGCAAACAAATGTAGCAGGCCTATACCCTCCCTTCAAACTACATAATGTAATTATGTTGATAACTCTTAGCTGTCACTAGCATTGTTTAAAGAACCTGGTCCACTTTCTGTCTGCCAAGATACAATCTATCCTCAGTGCTAGTTTTGTTTCAGAGTCCAAAATTACAGTGTATATAAAATAACTGGTTTGTGACTAAGACATTTGAGTGCAAGCTCACTGGGGCAGGAAAAGTAGCAAACATGTAACATACCTATTTATCTTGCATTCTGGGATTTCCTTTTCAACAGTACTCCCCAAAATACAACATTTAACCATCCTCTGCCATTTATTTGTTCATTTTTTGCACACAAGGTAAAGTGCACATTTTAAGCCTGAACAGTACTTACAATTCACCAAAACATTACATACTACCAAAAAGAAGAGCCCTTGGAGAATAAATTGGCGGCAAACTCAAAACTCTAAAAAAAAGTAGGAAAAACACTGCACAGTAAAGCACATTTATAAAACTAACCAGTATTACCTCCTTGCTGTAGATCTTTGCTCTCTTGCAGTAGTGTTGGTAGAAACTTCCCCATCGGACACTTCCCCCAAGTGTCAGATACCCATTTCTTTCATCTATGTGCTGTGGTTCTACCCCTGGCTATGTCCCTATCATGTCCCTTTAGAGCTACTAGTGAAGCAGCGACCACAGAGGTAGTCACAGTGCACAGTAGAGATGCAGGTATCTGACACACCCCGAAGTGTCAGATGCTGAAGATTCTACCAGCACTACTGCTAGAGAGCAAAGATAGTCTGCGAGGGAGAACTTTACTTTGATTATTTATTTATTTTAAAGTCGCAATAGGATCTCTTCAAAATTACTTAGCAGAAATTGCAAGTAACTGCTATTCTGACAAAAATACTGTGTAACAGGAAGTGTCAGATTCTACTAGAAATTCAATAGTGTTTTACCTTTTTTCTTAAAAGTAGTACTCTTGGGAGATGTAGTCTGAGGTGTCTTTTTGGATTTGAACTGCTTTTTACTTTTTCCCTCCATGATAATCACTGTAGAAAAATAACACAGAAAAGAAGAATGAGAAAATATTTATTGTGAACAAACTCTTAGTCTCCCAAATTGGATTTCAAACACAAACATTATTGAGGAATTCAAAGTTGAGTGGCAATAAAGGCTCATTCACACAGGGTAGTGGTGCAACATTGTGTGTAGTTGTGACAAACTTATTTTTCTTGAATTACAATTGCCTCTGGTCATTAGTAACCTCTTAGCATGTGCATATCTTTTTTTTTTATTATTCATTTACTATACGGTTACTGAATGTGGCTTGTTTTGTTATGTGGTATTGGAAATCATGGACAAAAATTATAATTTGAATCGGTTCCTCTGAGGTATTCGAAAACAAATTTTGAGTAGCTAATTCAGACTAGACTGCCTGCTAAAAACACTCAGTTTAAGCGGGAGGACTCAGTGCATCATATTGTTTACTTTTTAATTTTTGGTTGATTTGGAGAGTGTAAAGTGGACACTCCATTCAGGTCCCAGTACAGCCCTGTGGTGACCCGCAGTGCAACACCTTTGCATTATATTGCAACAGCTGCACATCACTACCGTGTTGTGGTGTGAACAGGACACATAGAATACAATTGTTTTCTAACTGCCCTAGTGGTCACTGGCATTAAGTTGGTGAAAAGCAAACAATCACTTCATGTAGTGTGAACAAGCCCTAAAACTGATTAATCAAACATGGAGACATTCTCTACAGCAACTTCTGTGCAGAGGAGTAACCATGGTGGCACGTCATTATGCAAGCAACATTTCAGAAGGGGTGACACCAAAATGACAGTCATTTTGGTGTCACCCCCTCTGATAGTGTCACTCGGTGCGGGCCACACCTCCCTTGTAACGCCACTGCTTCTTTATATTTGGTTTCACAGGATACAAGAAAAAGAACTCATTTCTACAGTGCACGGCTTCACTTGCACTTCATATTGTTAATGTCAGGGCCCATTTACACTATCGCATTGCAGCATTGTAACATACATTACTTTGGTCAAAAATCAAGCTGTGGGTGACCCTATCAACGCCAACCAGCTCCGCAAAAGTCGATTAAAATTTTGATGGAATAGTGACTCCATCCAATTAGATGACACCCGAAAGAATACCTGAAAAGCAACTGCATCCAATTAGCTGCTGTCACTGGTTTAGTACTCGGACAGCTGTGCCAGCTGTCAGAATGCAATATTCATTGGGGGGATTCCTCCTTATAGGCTGCTTAAAGTGGATGGGAAAATCAAGTGATCTCTCCCCTTCAGCCAATCTAAAAATTAAAACATGTATGGCTAGCTTTGCACTACATAGTTGATGGCAGATCTACAGGAGATTGTGCACAACACAAATATTCAAGCTTAATTTTGGGGTAACAAACACTTTAAGAAGGAATTTTCCTTACTTTAGAAAGATTTCTTCTTGCCCTCATTCACACTGGCACTCCTGTGTTCAGTATTTCTAAATGCAGGGGAAGTTATCTGGGAAGTATAAACAGCTTGCATCCCAGATCACTGTTTCCTGAGTTTAGGTCATCCCACTTGAAGCTGATTTAGAAGTGTTTAATCACATTTAGATCCCATTCACATGGGGCGATCTGGCACAAGAAACTACAAATTCAGACTGCCACTTGATGTGGCCGCTGTCATTTACTTCAATGGGTACAGTGGCTGCATCTGAACAGGAGACCTGGCATTCCGGCCAGAGGAATCCATAGAGTTTTGCCACAGAACGCCCAGTGTGAACGGAGCTTTAGAGCTTCTACTCTGATCCTGGATGCAGAGAATTCTATTTTGTCTGAGGTCTCATTCACACGAGAAAAGGCCAGCACGTACAGCTCCTTGCGCAGCCGTATCGGGCAGCTCCAAGGAAGGACAGGTGCGGCGTGTGATTAGTACACAGCCCCTGTCCTTCTCTATGGGAGTATGCGGCCGTATGCCGCCCTACGCAATCCCGCCCTGCACGTTTGTGTCCTACGCTGACAGGGTGGATCCGGTCTGTGTCCGAGCTGAGACACCTGCCCCCTTACAGACCTGCACGCGTACAGACCTGCACTTGAGGTGAGCGTAGGGGGACGCACGGCCGCGTATTCCCAATAGAGAAGGACGGGGCTGCGTACTAATCACACGCAGCACCTGTCCTTCCTGGGAGCTGCCCAATACGGCCGTGCACGGAGCTGTTCGTGCTGCCCCTAAATGCAAGTAAACAACGGCAAATACAAAGGCTGAATGATATCATTAGAAATCAATGACATGCATTCATATGCATTTAGATTGTGAATGGGACCTTACTCTGTGTTGTGCCTATGAGACAAGAAGTGATTATTACTATTCAGGATTGATACAGCGCCAACAGTTTGTGCAGCTCTTCACAAAAAAAGGAAGACAGTACAGTCACAAATACAAATCAAGACAAGATGGTAAGGAGGGCCCTGTCCCTGAGAGCTTACAATCTAAGTTGGGAAATCTCTCTAATGGGTCAGAGACAGCAAAATAAATAACATTCCCTATTCTAGCCAAAGCTAACAAAAAAAAATGGCTTTACATACCTCTTCAATCTTAGAAGTATTTACTTTAGGAATCAAATGCCATAAAGAAAACATAACTACAGGACAGTGAAGAAAAAATAAAATTGAAAAATAATAACTTCGTACAGGAACCAGGATAACAAGCACGTTACATATACACGATTCATACAACTCAATACACACATCAAGAAGACTCACGAACACCACTAAAACACAGTGTACACGTGACAACCAAGGTGACACCGATTATCGATACACACCGTATTACTGATGTCGTTATTTCTTCGGTCACTTATCTCTCCCAGAATTCCGGCCCATCCACCATGTACACACGTGTAAAATTGGACTCTCCCTGCGCATGCGCCAAATGACGCCTTACGAGAGCGTCAACTTTCAGCAAGCCATATATGGAAATGTTCTCATGTCAATAAAGCTTGATGACAAGCGGGATCCCCTGCTCTCCATTTTGGCTGTGGGCATGTGTATACAGCGCTGTGGAAGAGCTGTAAATGAATGGAGAGTCGTGGAGGGGAGGACGTATGATTAGGAATGTGCTGTTATTGCTGAGACGGCAACTTAACGTGTAACGGCCGGCCGCGGTGTAAACACATTTCAGTTTAGTGACAGCAGGGTTCCTGAATAATCAATAGGTTTTTTTTCCCCCACTGGACTGTCGGTACTTTAATTTTGGGAGCTTATCAAAACGAGCAGCTGTGCATGGCAACCAATCAGCTTCTCTCTTTCATTTTCAAATCTTGCTGAACAAACTGAAGAGAGAAGCTGAGTGGTTGTCCTGGACAACTGCTCCAGATTCTGTCTGCTCCAGTATTGATAAATTCCCCTCTGTTCTCTGTAATAATATTGTTTGTTTTAAGGTAAGTAGAAAATGTGGTCTAAATGGAGTAATGGTGTCCTGCATGCATTGTAGTATTGTAAAGTCTTATTAATGAGAACCATTCCAACATTTATAAAGAGGGTCAGATAGGAAAAACGGTAACGGGATACATACAATGCAGTAAAAAAAAGTGGGCGTGGCTACATATCATCTGAGTCTACTCACAGTATATACTGCATACGTTTGCCACAATCCGCATGCCAAAAAAATCAGCTTCTACAATTTGTGGTTAGAAAATGAAAACAAAGGAGCTGCTCGGTTGCTATAGGCAACTGCTCCAGATTTTCTCTGCTCCCATTTTGATAAATTCCCCTCCATGTGTTTCGCACACTCTATTGAACATCATACTTAGCATTCCATATTGTGCGCAAGAGGGACGCCTTCCAGTACAATTGAGGGAGAAGGAATTCAAACTGGGGCAGACCATATGCAGAGCATTGCCCATAATAACCAATCGGCTTCTCTTGCCGGTTTGTTCAGTAAGATTTGAAAATAAAAGAGAGACGCTGATTGGTTGCCATGCACAGCTGCTCCAGATTCCATCTGCTCCAGTTTTGATAAATTCCCCCACTATATTTAGGTAATGGACACACACCTGCCAAGCACCCAGAATTGATATCCTTTTAGATTGTAAGCCCTCACAGGCGGGCTCTCCTTCCCATCTTGTCTTGAATTGTATTGTGATTGTAATGTCTTCCTTATATTGTAAAGCGCTGCGCAAACTGTTGGCGCTATATAAATCCTGTAGAATAATAATATGCCGAAAGTGATCGGCTAAACCCAGAATAGTTGTTTTTTTTCACTGTTACTTTTCCTTTATACTGGCTTCTTGTAGTAATCTTGGGGCATTTCGGATCCAGTATGGGAGCTCACATGTTACACTCTGGCCTTGGTTGGTTCTGGTCCTAGGAGGAGCCTTTGCCCGCTATTGCTGCCCCTGGAAGGAGAGTCTCTACACAGATCTGGATGCGTTTTCCCAGTTTGTTCCATATGTTGGTTCGCTATATTTCCTCCTATATCTCCACAACTTCCTGAAGAAGCGGACTTCACAGCAAAACACGTTGAGGGTAGGAGCCGTCATTTCCAACTACATCTGGGAATTTTCAAGTGACTCGGCCTTTTGGCTAAGATCAAGTGTAGTATCTTCTTATCAGTTTTTGGGGGAGAACGACACCATCTTCGGACCGGGAGATGGTGGCTTAGTATTCCCTGATGTGATAGGTGGGTGCTGGAGGGGTTTCCTTTCCTCCTGGGTTGATTCTGGTCCGGTTACGCCGGGCTTGTCCCCAGTTGTAGGTGGGAAATTCGCCGGTACTAATGCCTTCTGGTGGGAATAGGGCTGCACTGGTTTGGCTGGGGGGCGGCAGAGGCCCGTGGTGCTGTGCCCCCTGGGGTAGGCGTCCCAAGGGTGCCAGAAAATCACTAGGGTGTGGGACCTCACAAGTGATTCACTGTGCACTTGGTCACGGCACCTACCCACTTTTTCTGCACTACGCCTTGTGGACAGGACTTATGGCTAGTCCTGGGGGAATATTTTTGCACTCCGGCCCCTAAGACCTGTCAGCGTGGTGCACTGGCACTTAGATTTTTATTTATGCACGATTGGCACTTTTTGGACTCTCACAGATTGACGGAGGGTGCAGGTACCTTAGGGCCTGTTCCTGACATTGGGAAGGAGGTTCTGTGACCTACAAATGGGCCCCTCTGCCTTCTCACACCTGTGGGGGGTCTCTCTTCGGAGAGCCCCCCAACCTAGTACTCGGTGGACCTGTTTCGGCAGGTCCCAGAGGGTCGGGGTCCGCCGGCCTAAGGGTTGACGGACCTGAGTCGTCTTGTCCCTGTCAGGAGCCTTTCGCCCCAGGGGATCAGGAAAATTGTGGCCCTTTCATTAGACCAGCAGTCAGGATACCAATAAAATGTTTGTTGTAAGTTTTGCCACTGAGTCCACTGAGAAAGGTAGCCCTGGCGGCAAGCCACTTCCCTACTCCCACTTCATCCCGCCTCCACATGACAGCACCTAGAGTCTGCACTATCCCTAGAGCACTGTGCATGAGAAGTACTTGGCGTGCATGCTCCCCTACCCGGATATTGGAGGAAGCAGCGCATTTAATACTACTTTAAGAGTTAAGATAAAGGATTACTTTTGGTAATTAACCCCTTCATGAGGCCTTTTTTTTATATTTTGCACCCATGTTATATTCCACATTTTAGAGCTGAAAATGACTTAAAACCCCCAAACATTATATATTTTCTGAATGCCAAGACCCTATAGAATAAAATGGTGGTAGTTGCAAATTTTTATGTTGCGCAATATTAGCGCAACTCCTTATTAAACCCCAAAATTTAGTGAAAAATTTAAAAGCCTCAAAATACCCATTTTTTGAATGAAATATAAAAGATGAGTTTACAACGAGTAAAACGATACCCAACATGCCCAGGTTACAAATTGCATGCGTCTGTGAAACGGCGAAAAACTGCAGTACCCCAAAAAATCCCCAACATGTGTAGCGCGTTCGTCGTTTTCATACGTAGGCGCACCTGACGCGTGTTTACGTGGCGACGCGCGTGCTCACGGGGGCGGGGGACTTTTACATTTTTTTTAATATTTAGATTTATTTTATTTTAATTTTAAAAACTTTTTTTTTTTTACTTTACTGCTATCACATGGGGGGGCTTACAAGCCCCCCCATGTGATAGCAGATGGTGGTGACAGGTACTCTTTAAGGTGATGCTGGGGGTCCAAAAGACCCCCAGTGTCATATATACAGATCGCACTTCAATAGCTTATAGCTGGGCTGCAGGATCACAGAACTGACAGCCCAGGGACCGGAAGTGATGCAATCGGGCCCGTAGGAGGGGCAACGGAGCCCGGGAAGCACGGCGGGGGGAGGCCCTTCTACAGGACACAGAAGCGAACTGGCGACAGGTAAGTCGCCAGAATCGCTTCTGTTGTCAAGGGGTTAAATACATTTTCATAGCTATGTGTACATCAGACCACAAACAGGGACAACTGAGGAGAAAAGAGGGACAGAGGAATTTGGTTCCAAATGAGGGACAGTCCCTCCAAATCTGGGACAGTTGGGAGGTATGGTTGTTTCAATGTTAATATTTGTTTCCATATTTCCATAACTTTCTTCACCACCAGATGGCAGTATTTTCTACTTTTGCTAGTTTAGTGTAGTTAATAGCATTTTGTCTTGTGGATCTGATAAAGCCACAGATAGCATACATTTAGTTAAAGTAGAAAATTATAAGGACAGTCTGTGGATTTGAAAATGTATGTGTGAATGTGTCCCAGATTATGAGCTCTGGCCTGCTGCTCCTATTTTTTTCTTTTTGGCCAAAGGATTTAGTTATTTGATAATATTTTTTGAATGTGATATTAATTGCTTAACAGCTCATTATTTGAGTCAAAGGGCTCTGTATATCTGGACGGACAAAAGACTGGTGTAGGACACAAGTCTGCTAGCCTCCAGGTTGGTGTCAAACTTGCATTTGGTCCCTGATTTCAGAGAGAGTCAGGTCCCATCCTAGGACCTTAGTCCACTCTAAGCTTCTGAGCCAGTAAGACCCCATTCACACCTATATCTTTAGGTGCAATTAGGGATTCCTGCATCAAGAACTTGCATTTTCCTACAGCAGGAATCCCTAATCTGACGTTTAAAAGTGGCAGTTGTCACCTGTTCAAGGTAATGATCAGGTATCAGGCAGTGCATTTGAACGCTGCACACCGCATGTAATCATATCTAATGTGATTACATGTGGTTAGGAATCAATCACTGTCCCCTGAACACACAATGCATCCAGGGAGAGTGTTTTATTCCTAACCGCATGTAATCGCATCACATATGATTACATAAGGTGTGCGGCATTCACATGCAGTGGCTGTCCGCTGATCATTAGCTTGGACAGGTCACAGCTGCCGCTTGTAAACAGCAGAATATTGATTACTGCTGCATAAAAACACAAGTTCCTGATGCAGGAATCTCTCATCGCACCTAAGGATATAGGTGTGAATGGGGCCTGAGGCTAAAACCAAAATGGGCCTATTCATAGAACCAGCAAGAGAATGATAAGACCAAGAGAGAGTGTCCAGTCTCAAGTCTGTGGTGCCTGGGAAGGGAATGGCAGCCGCTGAGGACACCATCTCCCATCAGGGAGAGTATGGGCTATATTCACCACTGGTGAGGTGGTCCACTTCTCAACAAAGTCCTTGGCAAAGAGAGAGAGGACAGAAAAATGTTTATGAGAAAAGAAGTTCCTGTCCAGACGTGCCCAGAGGAATTCATGAAACAAGGTGTGCTAAAGGAAGGTTTGGGGCAATGCAATTGTAGTGCCAACACTGCTTGCAAGGGAACAGGTTAATCCTTCACATGTAGGGTGTCCCAGATCATATGAATGAAATAGGCAATGGTCCACTTCTGATTTGTTGCTGAATCCACAGTCAGCAGGTGACGCCCCTAGAGA